CGCCAAACGCGCCACTTAGTTAACTTGCCATACAACGCCACAACACAAAAAATTTCATTTTTTCCTTTCATTTGGATAGAGTTCCGACCACTTTTGTGAAAGAACTAATCAAAATTATCTACTGTTGGTTGCCAATAAGTCTCAAGGGATAGTCATTGCCAAAAATTGGAAAGGGATTGAAGAGGATTGAAGCAATATTGACATGTCTAGTGAAGCTTTGCCCAGAGCAGGAACCATTGTTCTCACTACGTATGGCGTTGCAGTAATCATCTCATGTAACGAAGACAATGCATCATTGAAAGCAAAAATTTGGAGACATGCTGGGAAATCGATGGTATCCTCTGCAACTGCATATCTTCACAAGTCATCCGTGATCAAAGAGCTACCTGCTGCGCCTGGAATGACAACTACTTGTGAGCAGAAAAATGAAGCGAATGATAACAATACAATTTTGGTACATTGCTACTCTCCTACAAACGATGAATATACAGTATCATATATTAGTAATGAAGATGATCATATGAACTTGGTCACTACGTTACAAGAAGAAAAGAGCTCAGAAGATGCATCTATGACGGCGAACAAAACAGGGATCAAATCGGTCCAACTCTTTACTTTGAAATCTAGTCAAATTCATTCTGCAAAATGTGCTAAATTTTATCCACTTATTGATTCTCTTATTGAAAGAGGAAATGATGCTGTATCATCTGCCAAGTCTATGGTTAAAGAGAATGCTAAACTTTCAGAACTCAGTGAAAAAATCAGCAAGAGTGATGTAATGCATGATGGCGACAAAGTCATTTCCGATGGTATTGTAAAAATTTCCGAAGTAACAGAAAAAGTATCAACAAAGATAAAGAGTTCTATTCCAAATAACGAAGAAGTTAATGAAATTTACAAAATGTTGAAGGATGAAGAGTTGACAGTTTTACTATCGAATGGAAAAGAGAGATTAGAGCAATTATTATCAGGCGGTTTGAAGGAATCTACTCAAAGTGCGCTGAAAGATATGGGGTTGGAGATAACCTTAGATGCTGAAGGATCGATTTCCTCTTCTATTCAACAGGCACAAGAGAAGGCTTTATCTACATTGGAAGAGCTACTGTCTGATAATCTTGATCTTACATTAGACTCAGTAAAAGACACTCTTGGAGATAAGTTTGGAACAATGATTGATTCCTTATCGACTGCTGCAAAATCAGATGGAGTTTTGGAAAAGATCTTGGGAGACATTAGCGAAAAAACATCAGAATGGCAAGAAATTACTGGAAAGCTTTTGACAACAAAATCTTCCTCTTTGTTCATGGAAGGAGCTCAACGTCTTCAAACAAGACTAGGCAATATCTTGTCTCCAAAGCAAATATCACTTGTGGAAAAATCTGGAGCTGATTTGACAAAGGCCTTTACCGAAGGTGATGTGGCAGTTGCGAAACTAAAATCAATCGAACTTGGAGATTCTGTGAGATCACGTCTATTTGCTGCAATTGAGCTCAGAAGTGAAACACAAGGGGGGTTGGATTCAATAATTGCTGGAGCTTTGTCTCAAGTAGGAGGCGAATCTGTGAGCAAAATGTTGGAAGAATTCAAGGAGAGTGCTACATCAAACTCATCAAAGACGCACGAATCGCTAATTTCTCTACTCAGTGAACGCAGTCAATATCATGATGTAGCTATTTCAAAGATTGAACAAGTGCTTGTTGGGATTGAATCACACATTGGAGACGAAATGACACCCGAGGAAATTGCAGCCTTGGCAAGTGGCGAAACTGGTACTGAAGCTTTGTTTCAACCTGTTGCAAAACGGGCTGCAAAGGAAATTGAGAAGCAACTAGATGTTGCTGAAGAATCAGTTGAGGACGAACGGATTTTAGCTGTCATTTCTAGGGTCCGCAAAATCATGTCTGGATCTCTCACTCTTTCTAGCTTAGTTGGTGAAATTACGGATATTCTTGATAGTGAAGATGCTGTACAAGCAGGTACAATTCTTGCAAGAACAAGTGAGCAAATATTGGATGTCTTTGAGGGTTCGCCCTCTAAGAAGTCAGCTTTGAATGATGTGATTGGTGCAGTTGAAAAGGCTGGATACACAAAAGAGTCAGTTCTTAGTCAGGTAAGATTCTCTCCTTTCATGTTTCCTTAAAGGGATTGGTATTGATATCTAAACGTACATGTGTTTTTTGTAGCTTGAAAACTTGAGCATGGATAATGTACTTGACACAGCTCAAGAAGCTGTGAGCGATGAGAAGAAACGACTTGAGTTATTATCTTCCGCTACAGATTCAGCACTTGAATTTCTTCTTAAAATTTTACCGTCTATGCCCGTACCACCATTTGAAGGAGTGCGAGATGGACTCATTTATTCTATTAAAAATCTATCAATGCATGGTTTCAAATTAAAGAAGGAAGACATCATGGTGGAAATTGCAGGTATTCGCGCTGCAGGCAATGATTCGACTCACGAATATATTCAACGTGAGGTGAAAGCCTCTGACATCTTGGTTGTAGATATCAGAAACATATCGGCAAAGTTTGAAAATGCATTATGGAGTTTCGAGCAGACGTACATGCCTTACTTAAAAGGAAATGGTCGAACAAATGTAGAAGTATCAGATGGCACAATCAGACTGGAGTTTGAATTGAAGAAGAGACAGAGAAAGACTGCCGACGGAATCTCTTGGGAGCCAGTTCTTTGCCTCAAAACAAGACTTTGTTCTATTGAGAATCTTTCAATTACATTTGAGGGGGGAAGTCGTCTAACAAGAGTATTCACTATGCTAGCAAAAATGTTGAGAAAACCTTTGAGAGATTATGTCGTACGTACCATCATTGATTTGTTGGGATATAGAAGTGGATGGCTTTTGGAGAATCTGAATAAGATTTTGTCCACTCACTGGGATATCATCATGAAAACGACAAAACTGAATATTGTAAGTTATCAAGGCCGCCACTGTACTTGCCATGTAGTGTTTCCATCATTAATTTTTATCACTGATATGCAACCTTTTGAACAACAGGATAAACTTACAGTTGTCAACAAGAACGATATCGTTGCAATAGTGGAAGATGAATATGCAAATGAAGTAGATTTGGTATGGACCGAATTTGTTCCTCTCGGAATAAACTTACTGCTCAACGATAAGAGTGGGCAAATTAAGGTTGTGGATTTCCCTCGTGGTTCTCAAGCAAGAAAAGTATGCGTTGATAAGGAACTAGACCCCGATGACTTTAAGAATGCCACCATTATAGCCGTCAACGGTTCAAAGTGCGCAAACAAAGAACGAGTTGATATTATGCTAGCACTTCGAGATCCTGCAAGACCAAAAACCATCAAATTTTTGCTAGAAGCAAAGGAGAAACCTCAAGAAGAAGAGACAGTTAAGAAGGATATCGAAAGTATTCATGAATCTACCCCAACAGAAAATACAGCATCCACCATTTTACGTATCACCAAAGATGGTCCAATAGGCATCAAATTTGCAAAATCAGCAGATGATGCCGCGTTAACTTTTGTGGAATTCAGCTCTGATGGAAGTAGCAAGGATGTGGAATCTGCAGAAAACATTCATGTTTCTGACATACTAACTCACGTCAATGGAACCTCCGTTGTTGGTGATGTGGGAAAGGCTTATAAATGCTTAGAGGAAATGGGCAACGTGCGTCCACTTGAATTACGATTCACACGTTCCTACATCCACACGTTTTCATTCAAGACAAGAGATGAACATGGAGATTTAATGATAGGCGGTCCGTCTGAATTCAAGTTGGAGGAGTATCAAGACAAGTCATCATCTAAGATATGCATCCAAGGCTACAAGAAGGTCGATGGCTGTGTAGAAAGCCGAGGTATTTTCCTTGGTGATCATCTTATTTTCATCAACGGAATGCCAGTTGGTACAGGATTGAAACTCAATCCTGGTGGTCCAGAGCTCAATATCAAGGAAACATATGCGCTACTGCAAGACCCTACTCAGTACCCAATGTGCCTCTCATTTGCAAGACCTCGATCCAACAGTAGAACTGCAGATTTTGATCCTGATTCCCTTGATACTAGAAACATGTCCGTAATAGCTGTAAATCCAGCTCAGTTAGGTTTTGAGTTAGGTCAAGGAGCAAGTGAAAAACATTACGTTGTGAAAAAGTTCCGTCCAGTCCATGGGTCTTTACAATTAGCCATTGAGGAATCTTTTGGATCCAGTGCAACAACAGGACTATCATTTTTCTCAATCAATGGAGAAAGAATACCATCCTATGCAAATTGCGACCTTTTGTACAATGTTTTGAAACGAAAGTGGAATAACAGCCCAGACTTGGAAATAGTGCTCTGCAATGAAGCTATGAAACGAAAAATTTTGACCGCATAATATAAATTGACTTAATTAAAGTGCTTTGTTTCATCTAACTTGTTCTAAGTGGTGGTGAAACCAGAACTACTACATCCCCACGTACAAAAAGCATCCCAACAGTTCTTGTAGCCTTTTTCACAATTTCTTCGTCTGTCTCTTCATCAATTTCATGCGTTGTAACAGTCTCTTCGACATCCCCAAGCACCATATTTAAATGTTGGTCATATGCCTATTAATAGTTCGGTTTTATTAGGTAGAGATGGAGATGAGTCAGTAATTGAGAGTAGATGTAGAAGTAGATACTAGTATTTCTCTTCAAATTTCACTTACATGAAGCTTCCCCCGTAGTTCTCTATCATTTCTACATTTTACATAGATGCGTTCATCAATAGATAGTCTGATAAGATCCAATGGTTCCTCCATGATTCAAGCTCAATATTTTTTAGAGAAGTAAATGTGATATATGTGTATGATAGCTGGAATTGTAATTACAGAGCGTAAATACAGTGTAATCTATTAGTTTGGACAATATCTATGTCGCTTGATCTATGTAAGTACTGAGGACTGATGAGAGAGTTTCACAGCGTGTGTGTTTTGCTTGTTCATGCTAGAGAACATATGCATTTATGAACCAATATTATCTCCATGTTGTTTGTTGACACCGTGTCCGAGTGGTTAAGGAGGTGGATTCGAAATCCACTACGTTTCACGTGCGCAGGTTCGAATCCTGTCGGTGTCGATTTTTATTTTAGCTGATGAAAAAGAACTTTTGGAGTCATTTAGCTCATTGATGTTTTGATCCCATCTGAGATCTTTTTCCAAATTTATATTTTTTCAATATAGTAGAACCTACATCATGTTATGGTACTCTTTTCTACTCAATTTTTCACGCTGATTTCATTTTTGATATCAGAATTTGACCATCTATCTTTGATTAAGCCGAATAGCTTGTACAAAGTATCTATGAGGTGACATGAGGGTAGTCAGTTGCTGAGAGACGAGTGGGTGGCTTCGGCTCCACTCGGGAACCAACGCTCCTTTCTCCTTGCTCATATTTGAGTATCAAATATTGTTCTTTTTTATCTACACTTTTGATTGTGTCAACAACGAGCCAAATCGAGCTGGTAGTTCTTGAGATATGACGATACTTATGACTTTGCCACCTCGGTTCAATCACCGTGAAAGAGTTTTTTTAATAACTGTTTTAAACGAAAACGATCTTTCTTATTTTATTCATGAAACCGGCCTCCACCATCATGAATAATTAAATTTATTCTTACATATGGCAGCCCCTCTGTTACACATAATGGATAATACCATAGGTGTCTAGGAAATTCTTCAAAAGAACAAAGAATAACAGCAGTGTGCAATGTGAAGTATATTCAAGGCAGCAATGCACATACGTAGGCGAATATGACAAGAGTATTATTTCCAAATGAATGAATGCGTGAAATCTAATTATTATTTTTATTTCCTTATACACCCATCATCACCTATTTTTTCAGCATACAGAGTCAACGCTACCTCGCAAATCTTTGATGCAACAATGACATTTATTGAGTTGCCCAAAAGCTTCCACTGTTGTTTCAGGGTGCAATCAGAAGGGAAAGAAAAAGTTTGCTGAGCTTCCCCAGCTTGTCCTTTTGATGTCGGAAATCCAAACAACTTGGCAAGTTCCATTCCAGAAAAATATCGCAAATCTCCTTTTAAATCCATGCCATTCCAAGTCTCATCGAATTGCCTTTCCTCAGGTTTCACCAATTTTATTTTCTCTAGTATTGAAGCAATCATCTCATTAGATCCCTGTTTGGTATCTCTATCATAAATTACGCTTCCAGTTCCTCTCACAAACCTCCCATAGGACGATGTCACACACGAAGATCTTTTATCACTTGGTGTCACGAAATCAAAACACCATGACGAATTACTACTCAAGATTTTGTCTAGTACAAGAAGCGACTCTCTATCTGTTCCTGCATCTAAGAATTCACTCAGTGGCAACACACCAGATTCTGATGTAGGATCTTGAACTTGCAATGGATCAATACAAGTGTTGATTGGTGTTTTGTCATCGATGTTGTATTGTATCGGTTCTTTTACACTCTCGAACCAAGCCGACATTTTATTATGTACTATATTCTTCAATTGGGAAATATCTATTTGAAAATGTGATGAAGACTCATACATTACCGCGACTGTGTAGTGTCTTGGTCTATCATTTGGTATGTTGCACTGTGTTGGATTCAAATGAAAATGTGCAAAGTTATATCTTCTAGCTTTGAGGGCTTTACGAAACATTCGACAGCTGCTAGACTGCACAAATGTTAATAATTTATAATATGTACAATTCGTAAAAAATATAAAACATCCGTAAAGACATACCTCTTCGAATCCAATCACATTCTCCAAAACAATAATCCTAGGTAGAGTCTCTTGTTGCATACTTGTAATCATTTCACAAAGATGAATAAAACTTTTTGACCTAGGATCAATCATATCTTCTTTCTGATTATTATGTTGCCTCGTATGCGGTTGACATGGTGGACTCATCATCCACATAAATGCTCCACTTTCTTCCAAATTCTTTTTCGTCAGGGATTCGATCGACACGCTTTTTGTAGATGAAGATTTCTTCCTCTTTTTTGTCTTGTACATTGAAATTTCTGCATCATTTCCTTGAGGCGGGAAATTGTGATAGTAGACTTTATTACAGAGATCTGAATGGTCAAAGGCTCCAAGACACTTGAGTTTCAATCTGCTTTCTGGGGTGTCATCGCCAGCCTCATTATTTTCCCTAGTCAATCTTTCGATGGCAGCATGAAGTGCATAGCGCCAACCGCCAACGCCCGAATAGAACTCCAAGTAAGTTAATGTTTCTGATGACGAAGACATCGAAAATAAAAATATGTATATATTTAGAAGAACACTCTTGAAATGGCGAAAATCCAGTGCTGCCGGCTGGGCAACTTGAAAAAGAAAAAAAGGAGAAGAAGGAAGGGAAAAGAGCGAAGCGCAAGAGAGAAGAGTAGTGTGACGTTCACGGTAGAGAGTTAGAAAACAGTTATAAAACAAGACTGAAGGGGCTTAAGTAAATTAAATGTTCATACTCGTCCGCTCGTCTCTCAACTAATAAGAAGAGAGAGGCTGATATTTTCACGTCAGTCAACAAAACAAAACAACAAACACTACTTATAAAACCCCTCTACCCACCCAACAATAAAGTAAGTGAATCAAGTGAATCATACACATATCTTCATCCACTTTATAGTCAAAATCTTACCACTTCATATTTACAGTAGGTAGTTATGCATAAGCCAATTGTCGAATTTCTCATTCAAGATACTTTTAGTGACCCGAGTATGTGTGAGCTTGTGTGTCTTGAATGAAGAACTGGCTACATACAAGCAAGCAGTTTGTCAGATCACCATGCAAATTTACATATTACCATTCTTCAAGTTTTGTTTAAAACTGGACGGCTGTACAGGAGCCTCTCCTCAAAGCCATTCCTTTTACTCACTTCGCTTTCAGGATTAGTAATTGTCGTTTGTAACTTAAAAAGCTACTTTTAGATGAAGGTAAGACGAGAAATATGATTCTATATCTATTGTTGTCGTTCATTCATACTTAAATGTGATATTTTATCCAACAAACAAAGAACTACTATGTAATGATGAGTGGCACAGAAGAGGGGGTCACTTTTTTTCAGCGACAAACTGAGACGAGCTAAAAACATCGAACCTACTTAGCACAACAACCACACAACATCAACCTTCATTCACAGCTAAATTCCATCCGAATACAAATTTGACTCCTCCTACTAGCGATGTTCTTTTCAATTCCTGTTTTTTTCATTTCCGGCAATGTCAAAAAGCCTGTCGTGCTGAAAAATGAGGATCGCCATTGGAAAAAAGATCCAAAACTCGGAACAAGACTGGCGGAGATAGCAGGCAAAGCTAGCAATGCGTTATTACCCATCAATGTTCATTCATATCCGCTTTAATATCGAATAGATTTATCAGTATGGATAGCAGCGAATCAAATGTTGCTAATGCTTTGGCTGCTTTTGGAGAAGGGGTTGGTCTAATGTTATCTCCTGAAGAGCTTGAGATGATAGTAGAACTGCAAAATACTTCACCAACCACTGAAATAGTAGGAGCATTACAAGATACGGCCATTAATGCTACTGAGCACAGCTCCGAAGCATCCGAAGTTGAAATAAGACAAGCTGCTGCAAGTAACCAAGAGAGAGATGATACTCGAGAATCTTTCACTGTCGAAATCACTCCTAATAGGCGCTCTTCGTCTAGGAGGAGAATTGTTGCAGCTCAGTCTCGTGGTATGGCTGATGCAGCTTGGAAGAGGACTAGTGCTAATGAAATCACTCCAAATTCTGCTTTACCAAGTTCTACTAGTAATAGGCGCTCCTTATCTAGGAGAAGAGGTATTGTGTCTCAGTCTCGTGATACAGAGATTACTCCTAGTTCCGATTCGACACTCCCATCAAGTTCTACTAGTAGAGGCGTATTAGCATATGAAGCAAATGACGAAGATACCGCTGCTACGAATCTCCTTTCGCTGAGGAACCAGGACACATTCAACCCAGATACTTTCCGAGCATGTTCATTGTCGCAGGTAAATACTAATACTCTCCGTAGTAATTATATACCTGGAACAAAACGTAAAAATGACGAAGTAGATACATGGATTCCTGTTGGCAAAGAACAAAAGACCACCGATGAAGCAGTCCATATGGATATTGACTCTTCCGGAGAGTCCATTCAAGTTCAAGAAGGAGATTGGGTTCAATGTGATATCTGCGATAAATGGCGGAAGCTATCAAGACATCTCTCTGCAGAGGAGAGAAACGATGATTGGTACTGTGACATGAATACGGATAGTCCTAATGCATCATGTGATGATCCGGAGGAAGTGTATTCTGAAGATAAAAAGTGAGATACTTCCTATTATTGTATATCTTTCTTTGTAAGCCATTATCTCATCTCTCACTAATTCTATTCTTTTTAGATTGGCTAACAAGAGGGGACTTGTCGCCGACATTGAAGAGGATGAGGACATTGATCCCGATGATATTTACGATGAATTTTGTCCAGCTGAGGAATCCGATGAGGATGAAGAGCTGTGCAAAGCTGATTTTGATTTTGATGATGAGGAAGAAGAGGTTTGGGTGCCAAACGAGGATGCTAATCTAGCTCATTCTTCAAGTGATGCTAACGAGGAGCAAACAAGACGCGCAAAGAGACATCGCATTCCGGAAGATTCTAATTCTTTTATTGAGGACGAGGATGAGCTTCCAGCATTGGATGATTCTGCTTTTCCAAACGTGGTACGATTATGTTGTTTATTGTGATTATGCTGTTTATATACATTCTATGTGCTAACTCCAAAACTTGTTTTTAGTTGTATAAGATTCTCCAAGACAATCAATATCCTGGTATCATTTCATGGACCGATGATGGTAAGGGATTCGTCATTCCAGACCAAGATCGCTTTATGAATGAAGTATATAACCCAATACATGATAGAAGTATAAAGTTTGTTACTTTGCGGAGAAAGGTATGCTATTCTTTGATATTATTGATAAAAACTTTCCTGATATTCTATATACTGATCATTTCTATCTCATACAACAGCTTGGAAGGTGGGGCTTTTTTTCGAATAAGGGAACGTATTATCACAAGGTAACTTTTCAATTCAGATTTTTATTAATCTTTCGATACT